CCAAGGGAGGAGGATTCAGCATAGGTCAATAGCGAAGATATTAATCATGGAGAGATATGGAAAAGCAGAGCCAGCAGCTCCAGAGGTCTCCCTGAAGATGCTGCTGGAGCGGGAGCATCCCCACTGGGTACAGCCTGTTGCTGGAGCAGCTCCGTGCCAGCATCCCACCACGTCCCCTCCCATCACGTTCCCAGCTGCTGGGAAGCCCAGGATGACATTTTCCAGAAGGTGGCTGCTGCTGGGCACTCGAGGAGCACCCCCTGCCCAGCATGAGCTGCCCTTGGTGGTCACCACCACCACCACCACCACCACCACCATCACCTCCTCGCAAGCCTCCCGGCGCGCTGCCCGGGACTCACAGCCCTCTGCAAACACCACGCACTTGAAAAGCAAGAGAGGGATGATTTGAGCACTGCTTTGGAAGCAGAATTTCCTCCTCGCTTCAACCGACAGCTGATGGCCAGACGAGCACCCGCAGCCCTCGCGGATGAAGATGCTCAGCTGGCATCCTCGCGGCACGGCTGAGAAACGCCCTGGCCACGCTGCAGGCACCAGGCAAAAAGAGCGAGGCACCTGCAGGACGGCCCCACAGGCTCACCCTGCCTCGTGTCTGCAGAACAGCACAGTGCAGGCACTCTGTAATTTTTTTTACACAGCCTTGAGCAGTTTTACAGAGCCCGTTTCGAGGCCAACGATCTCCACGGCCGGTCTCACCAGGGCTCGGCGCATTTGTCAGCGCTGCAAAACCTCAGGCACCGAACTCGGAATCGATGCTGCTGCACTTCCTTGGCGTTTTATTCATGGCCCCGTAAGGGTTCCATTAAGGAAGAGCCCTTACGTGGCGAGCACGATGATTTTTCATTCACTCTTCCTACAGAGCGGGGCTGAAGTCACTGGCGAGATCACTGGGGCAGAGCCCATTCGATTGGGAACAGAGCCCCCGGGGCTCCTGATGAATCCCAGACACATCTGCAGGCTGAAAGCAGCGGAAGAAAGAGCTGCGTGTGCTACGCCAACAGCAAAAAAACACCCAAAATTTGCATGTGCCAGCTCCCCAGCCCCGGTGTTCAGGTGAGAGCCAGCCCTTTGTGGCGACGCACCTGGGGAACAGGACAGCAGAGGGGGCAGAGAGCCTGGCACAGACCCCCCAGGCCATCACCAGAGACCCACATTGCCAAAAAAAAACACAGACTTGGAGGCTGCCATCGCTGCTGTCAGGTGCTCTGTTGGGGCAGGGGCTCACTCTGCCATGGGTCCTGTGCCCACATTAAGCTGAGGGGTCCCTGGTGGTCCCCTCTGCCCGTCCTCATGGCGCTGGGCAGCTTCGTCCCCAGGCTTTGGCATCCCATCAGCGCACATTTAGGTCACCTGTCTTCACCCATTCATCTGCCAGACCTTGTTTTTTCCCCCTCGTCTTTTACTCTATGGCACCCACCGAACGCCATCCCCCTTGTGCTGTGTATCCCAGAAAGCTCCTCCCAGGCCCGCTCCAAAAAAAAAAGCAAGTTTTTAGTCGGGTATGTTTAAAACAGCCCGGAGTTGACAACAACAATAACCTCTGCTCACTTCCTTCCTTCCTCCGCTCGCAGTGATTTTAAGCCGCGTTTTTTTTTGTTTGGAAGTCAATAGTGGCAGGATTCCTAAAAACCCCTGGGTGAGCACCACGGGTTTCCAGCACGGAGCCCTGCTCGCGATTTGGAACAGGTCGCTTCGTGCTCCAAACTTCACCAAACGCCTTCTGCAAAACTGGAAAACTCTACAGTGAAGCCAGCTCTTAAAACCTTATTAAGTATAAATATATAATAATAAAAATAATGATGATAATAACAATAATAATAACAATAATAATAACAATAATAATAATAACAATAATAATAACAATAATAATAACAATAATAATAATCCGGCCCAGTTTGGGATGCGCTGCACTTTACCATGGCATGGACAGGATTAATAGCACGTTCCCTACCCTGTAACTGGGATTTTACCCCGTACCTTTATAGGTGACCAATTAAATCCTCCTGCTCTTGAAACCTCAGCATTTTTTGCCTATTTTTCAGAGGTCGGCCGTGCCAAACACAAGGGACATCTCAATTAACCAAGTGGCTTAATCCGGCAGGGTGATAAATAACAGGGAGCGAGCAGGTCACTGCAATTCACTTGAGTAACCAGATCCCTGCCTGCTGCTTGGGGTTTTTCCAATCTGCATTAGGGCTGGGTTTTAATTGTAAACTCCCCAAATTGCAGGCTCTGTGCTGGCAAGGGCTGAAGGCACAGGAGTCACTGATACCCGACGCTTAAAGCCACCACCCTACACCTCTGCCAGCACCCTACAGCAGGGCCAGTCTGCTCACGATCCCAAACGATGCCCTAAATTTCAGCAAAACTCCCCCAAATCACCTTGCCCTGCCCCACAAGCAGCAGGGAGCCCCCAGGAGCCTCATCCCAAAGGATGGCAGCAGGCAAAGCCATGCCCACGGCACCGATCCCACATCCATCTGCCAGGGGGATCCCAGAGCTGCGGGAAACGTGGCTTTTAGGAAGTGTCCCTAGAACTCAGAGGGTGCAAAATATGACCTTTGGAAAACTATTTTTTAATGCTGGGAGCTGTTAAAAAAATTAAAGAGCAGCAGCGGGGAGGGAGGGATGGGTTGAAAGTGCAGGGAGAGGGGTCTGACACGGCGAAGATGCATCTGGAGGAGAAAGGGCGCAGGAGGGCGAGGGGACAGCATCCATCCTGCTCCCCAGGAACGACCCCAATCAAGTGGCTGGCTTCAGAGCAGAGCAACACAAATTATGAGGATGGAAACGAGGTGGAAGGGAGGTGACCACACGCGGGGAAGGCGAGGGGAGAGGGAAGGGGCAGCCTGAGGGTCCGCGGGCCCCGCGCACCGCGACCGCCGCACGCACAGCTCCCGCGCGGGGCCGAGGGCCAGCATTCCTTCCCCATAATACAATGCCTAATTTAACGGGAGGAGAGGAGCCTGGCGAGCTCTTCGCGGGGGGACGCCTTGCGTCAGGAGCTAATTTAAGCCCTCGCTGGGCTTCAGTCCCCCTGCACGCGCCGAGCCCCTGCGCGCCAGGCGTCCCCGCGGCACGACGTCAGCCACGAGCAGCAGGGCCCAGGGGGGCAGCACTTCTCCATCCGGGGGCCCATTTTTATCATTTCTAGAAAGCCCATGACATTTTTCTCTTTTTTTTTTTTTGTGCTTGCCCCAGCACTTGGCCCAGCTTCGGCGGATCTTTCTGCAGCTCCAGCGTAAAACCAACAAAAATAAATGAGTTTTCTGAGTCAAGGCTGCCTCGCGCACGAGACCCTTTGATGCGAAGGTTTGCTTCCTTTTGAAGCGAGCACATTTATGTCTCTTGCTTCCTTTAGCTCCCGATAATTGATAAATCGGGAGGCCGAGCAGGGTGTAAGATGGTGTTTTTAAAGCCACGCTTCGCATGGAAGCAGGACCTGCAGGACCAGCAGCTGACAGCGCCGCTACTCCCACAGCCACAGGCATGCGCCGGCAACTCCAAATTAATATTTTATTTGAGCAATTACAGTAATCAGCCCGAACAACACTGCTGGGTAAACACAGGCAAGCCGTAAGGAGCCGATACAAAGAGGAGCCGCTACGAGGCTGTCCCCGGAGCGAGGGCTGGGGCCGGCACCAAGTGGCTTTTGGGGACGCCGGGCCGCGAAGGCGCCCACGGAGAGCGCACAAAAGCTCGCAGCCGGCCGGCCCCGCCGCCTTCAGATGCTGGTTTTCACATGCCCCAGACAAACGGGCTCTTTGTCCAGGTGCGAGCTCAAGGCCACCGGACACCGCGGGGCTCCCGGCCCCTTTTGTTGGCCCCAAAAGCCAGGCTGCCCCAAATCAGCTCAAAGGCGCTTTCCTCGCCCAAAGCGGCACCGCGCGTGGAGCTGGGCCAACTTTTCCAGTGCTGACCGTGCAAACGCACTGCCCCGTTCCGCCCCATGCTGGCTTTTCGAATTAAATCCTTTCTGTCAGCCGGAGAAGGCGCACTCGCACAAAACCCACCCATAAATGACGATGTCTCCCGGCCCCACGCAAAGTCCCCTTTTGCTCGAAGCAGCGGCCCCGGGGCGGAACGGGGCAGAGCGTGGGTGCCGCCGGGTACCCCTCGGGGCCCCAGGGGGCTGGGTGGTGCTCAGAGGGGAGAGGGGCACCCCGGGGTGCTCGGAGGGCTGGGATGGGGTGCTGGGACGTGGGGCAGGGTGCTGGGTGCTCAAGCAGAGGCTGGGACAGGGTGCTGGGTGCTAGGTGTGGGCAGGGTACGGGGTGCTGGACATAGGCAGGGTGCTGGGCACTGGATACAGGCTGGGTGCTGGGTGCAGGATGGGTGCTGGAAATAGGCTGGGTGCCGGACATAGGGTGCTGGGGGCTGGATAGAGGCTGGGTGCCAGATGCAAGCAGGGTGCTGGGCACGGGGTGCTGGATACGGACAGGGTGCTGGGTGCTGGGCATGGGCAGGGTGCTGGGTGCTAAAGCACAGCAATGTGGCAGAGTCCTGGGAGCTAGGAAAGGGTGCTGGGGTGCTGGACATAGGGTGCTGGACACAGGCAGGGTGCTGGGTGCTAAAGCACAGCACTGTGGCAGAGCCCTGGGAGCTGGGGCAGGGTGTAGGGTGCCGGGACAGAGTGCTGGGGTGCTGGCCATGGGGTGCTGGCCATACACAGGGCGTCGGGTGCTGGGTGCCAGACACAGGCAGGGTGCCGGACACAGGGTGCTGGGCATGGGCAGGGTGCTGGGTGCTTAAGCACAGCCCTGGGAGCTGGGGCAGGGTGCTGGGGTGCTGGCCATGGGGTGCTGGGCACAGACAGGGTGCTGGGTGCTGGGTGCAAGCAGGGTGCTGGGTGCTAAAGCACAGCACTGTGCCAAAGTCCTGGGAGCTGGGGCAGGGTGCTGGGAGCTGGGGCAGGGTGCTGGGTGCCAGGACAGGGTGCTGGGTGCCGGGGCAGGGTGCTGGGTGCCGGGACAAGGACTCACCCAGCTTCTCGACGAGGCGCAGCATGACGCCGCCGATGTGGATCTCGCCGGTGACCCGCAGGGTGACATCGCGGCCCAGGTCGGTGACATGGACGCTCAGCTCCCACGTCCCATCCGCGTAGCAGCCGTCCGGCATGCGGATCCCGTCCAGCGCCATGGCCACGGCCTCCTGCGCCGCCAGCCAGCCCCGCTCAGCACCGCTCGGCTCGGCTCGGAGCGGCTGGGAGCGAGCTGCAGGGGGGGCGCACGGAGGGGATGGGGAAAGGGGAGGGGGGGGGACGCCGAGCCGCTGCCTGCGGGGCCGCACGGGAGAAGGGGCGGGCAGCAGGAGGAGGAGGAGGAGGAGGAGGAGGAGGAGGAGGAGGAGGAGGAGTTGGAGGGGGATAATAATTAAAGGAAAAACGCGCCCCGCGCTGTCGGGCCCCTTGGCCTTTTATGGAAGCGAAGGACGGAGCGCAACGGAGCGCAAGGGGGGCCCCGCTCCAACATCCGGGACTCGGCACGGCTCGGAGCGGCTCGGATCGGCACGGCACGGCATGGCATGGCACGGCACGGCTCCAAACGGCACGGCACGGCATGGCAAAACATGGCACAGCACGGCAAAACATGGCACAACATGGCACAGCATGGCACAGCATGGCACAACGTGGCACAGCGTGGCACAGCGTGGCACAGCATGGCAAAACATGGCACAGCATGGCAAAACATGGCACAGCATGGCACGACATGGCACGACATGGCACAGCATAGCACTTAATAGCACAGCATGGCACAGCATGGCACGTCACTTAATGGCACAGCACGGCACAGCATGGCACGACATGGCACAGCATGGCACAACATGGCACAGCATGGCACGGCTCAGCACAGGATGCTCAGCACACCCCTCCAAGCACACACACCCCCCTAACACCAGGGATATCCCCACTTTTCTAAGCCCCCAGCCCCGCAGCACAGCCAGCCAGCCCCGAAACGCCTCGCCCCGTGCCGAGCTGTACCTGGGCATCGCCGCCTTCAGCCCGCGCTGTGCCCGCCGCCGCGCTGCCTCCCTCCATCCTCAGCATCTGCGAGCCTCAGGGATGGGAGCTGTGGGTAAAGGAGAGCCTGAACCAGCACGGACACAGAAAAAAAAAGTGATTATCCGCTTCCTGTGGCTCTCCACCCAGTGATACATACGTCCCGCCACGGCAGCCGGGCTTCCTGAGAAGGTTGCGCACAGGAGGAGCGGCGATGCGAGGCCCACGGTGGGCAGGATGTGACCCACGGTGGGCGCTGGGCAGCCCCGTCCCGCTGACCCCAGCCCCTCACAGTGGCCTCTGCCCTCAATTTCCACGTGTGCCGCTCCCGTGTCCCACGCCACGAACGGCAGCCGGGGCTTTGTCGTGGTGGTGGGCACTAAAAGGTCACGGTTTCGATGATGGGGGCTCCCCAGCTTCCCCCTCTTGTTGTTTTCTTGGAGGTATTTATCAAGGGCTGCTCCTCCACTTTCCTATAAGCATTAATAAAGGCTTCCCTGAGCCGGGTTTCGCACACAAAGACCATGGAGGATTTAGGCTAAGGTGGCCGATGCTGCTGGAGGAGAATTAGGTAACAGTGGCCTACCCCCAAAATCCTCCCGGAGCCTCAGTCCCTGCCAACATAACCCCATTTCTTCCCCCTGAGGCTGGAAGCTGAGCACACCCTGTGTTGGGGACGGCCTGGGAAGGCAGGGCAAAGCCATCCCGTAAGAGTACAGCTCGTATCTCGGTGTTATTCCCCTGTCAAACAATAGGGCAATAAACAGAAAGGGTTACTCTGCTCCAGCGTTTTGGCCGAGCTCCCTAGCTGATGCAATGCAACACGCCCCCGGTGAAGCCGCATTGTTCCAGTCCAGCTGACTGCACCGGTTCCTCCTGCCCCCAAAAACCCTTCCCGGAGTTTTTTTTCCCCAGCCTCGGTGGCAGGGGGGACGCCGTCCCCGGGGCTCCCCTTCCCACCCGCGGCGGGGGTGTGCGCGGAGGCGGGCGGCCTCGTCTCCAATGCTCGGCCGAGCCGCGAAGCAAGGTCAAAAATGCAGCCGCTGGGCTCTTACGTCAGAGGCAGCCAAGCATCCCGGGGCTCTTCCCACTGTTTGCAGGAGCCGTGTGCTCCCTACGAGCAGCAGCAATAGCCAAATAAGGTGCCGCAGCGTGCGGTTGCTCCGCCGGGGCAGGGATGATGCCCACCAGACCTGCCCGCGCACGGCTCCCGGCCCCGCTGCCCCTTCTGCCCCCGCCGCTCCCCGAAAGCGGGATGCTGTTCCCGTGAAATGACTCAACAGCAGGGCAGCTCGGAGATGCTGGTGGTGGAGCCGAGCCGCTCCTTCCCTGCCTTTACGAGGCTCATTTTGCTTTTTTTTTTTTTTTTTTAAACTGATTATTTTAATTGTTAACCGTGCGCCATTGTCGCAGCCGGCTCGCTGTAACACCTTGGTGCTTCGGGGCTGTGCGTGAGCCGGTCAGACTGGCTTTCTCCAGGGTGACCGAAATGTGCCCTGTGCGTTCGGGTGCCTTGGCAGGGTGTTGGGAGCAGGAAAAGCAGCAGGATCCAGGCACGGGAGCAGAGAAATTCCCCGAAGCCAAGTGTGAAGACAAATCCGTTTCCTCCTGCAGCGCAGCACGGCCAGGCACAAGGCACTCGGCCCCATCACCCCAAAAGCTTCCCCAGGTCCCCATACTCCCCATTCCCAGCTTCTTCCTGAAAAAGGGCAAAGTTTAAAAAGAAAACCCCAGAAAGGGGAAATTCAGAAACCTGCTTTTCCCTGGCGCTTTTTGGGCTCCAGCACAGGCTCTGTGCCCCTGTTGGTGCCGCTCCGTGCCATGCTGTGCTTGCGAGCCCGCTGTGCCCTTACCCAGCACCTTCTCTTAGAGCTGGGAACGTGGAGCCAGGCTTGGAAGGATGAGAAATAAAATCCCAGGCAAGAGCAAGCCACGGGCCCACGGGCAGGCAGGGCTGGGCAGCAGCACAAATCGCTCCCCGTGTCCTTGCGCCTCTGGCAGTGCGTAATAGCCGGGGAGAGATGTCCAAACATCGGCGTGGTTTTCCCCGAGTGTCTCCATCTCCTCCCAGCGCCCTCAGGACACAGCCGGGGTTCGATTTTTCACAAATGTCCATTTCCGAGCAGAGGGAAGGTCACGCTCCTGGCAGAGGAAACGTGCTGGTAACTCCGCTTCCTTGTTTATTCCCGGCCACATTCATTCTTCCCCGACTGTGACATTTCGGAAACGTCCGTGTGACGGCTTTTCTCTTTTTTTCTGGAAAAAATACGTGCCGGGTAATGGAGTTGTGCCACGGCTTCGCCTTGTAGGAACGGAGCAGAGGTGCGACCGCCTGCTGCATGCACGGGGTTATTCAGCATCCCCTGCACTAAAAGGATGGACAAGTTTTGAGTTTAAAAGAATGGAAGAAGCACTTGAGAACGGAGGTTCAGGCTTTCCAGACTGTAATAATTCCCCCTGGTGACCTTGCAAAGACAATTAAGCATCCCCACGGCTTGCTCCCAGCAATATTTCCTGGCGTCCCTGAGGACGCAACTCCACTGGTGCAATCCCGCTGCTTTGCTCACCCACAGCCTTCCACCAGGCTCATCAGCTCAGCCCCAAATTGTTTGTTCCCGAATGAAAGAAGTCAGAAAAATCCCCAGGAATTCTTCTCCTCCTTGGGGAAGGAGGATGTGGTGCCCAGGGCCAAGCACACGGGGCAGCATCGCATCTCTTCTTGGGGAGCGATGTCCCTCATGGGCAGGTCTTCAGGCTCAGGTCCTGGTGTCTTTGAGATGAGCCACTTCTCCTCCCAAGGGAAATGCAGCCAGGGTTTTGGGGGAAAGGATCCTGGTGCCACAGTGGGCATCCCTACAGACAGCAAGAGCTGCCCTCCTGGTGGCCAAGGACACACGGGACGAAGCCAGGGCGCAAGAGCTGAGGCTGTCACAGCCATCCGGCGCGCTGCTTCGTGCCCAAAGGTTACCAAACATCCCCCTGAGGCTGGAATAAATCCTGGCTTGCCAGAGATAGCTACTCTCTGATAAGAGACGCCGAGCCGGAGCCACCTCCTCCCTTGATAAGCCGAGCCCAGGGTTCATCACCCTGCAGCTACCAAACTGCGGCTCCTCGCCGTGCCGCGCGTGCCTAGCATCACGCCGTGCCCCCGAGCCCGTTACACCCACACCACAGGACCAAAAACCCACTGTAGGGCTCATCATCCGCTCAGTCTTCTCTTTCTTTCCAGGGACTGGAGACACCCAAGCTGCCAGAGCCCCAGGCTGGGAGGTTTTTGCTTCCCAGCCTCGTCCTCCGCAATCAGCTCCGCGCAACAAAACAACCCCCCGGGCTCTCCTTCCCCGACCCGTGTCAGGCTGTAGCTTCCTGTTGACATTAATCCCTCTTTTTTTTCTGGGCTTTCTCTATCACACGGCCGTGTCCTTCCGATGTTCCAGCTGCCAGGAGCGGCCCCCACAGCGTAAGATTCCCAGAAAGGAGGCATCGTGCCCCAAATCAGGCTCCTTGGACGTTGGGTGTCCCTGAAACGGTCCCGGAGCACCCCCTGGACACCTGCCTTAGCCAGAGGGAGCTGTTGGCTTGAATCCACGTGATGGAGAATTTGGGTAAATCCCAGAAAATTCTCCCCAAAGCTAATTCATCCCAGATTCATCCTGATAAATGTCCCCCAGCTCCTTGGTCTCACAACCACCGTGCCCAGGACCCCGCTCTCATCACGGATCTGCCTCTGCCTTGCCCGGGGTCAGACCCCAGCCCCCACCTCTTTATTAGGGGCTCCTACACCAGCTGGGCCGCTGGGCAAAGGTTTTCCACCTGGCCATTGCCAAATTTTGCAACTTTTCCAGCACCTGTACCTTTCCCTGCCCGTTTGCACCAAATTTCAGCCGGTGTTACCCTCTGGGTGCTCTGCAAGGTGCTGTAACCTTGCGGGTGGTCGGTGCAACTCCTTTTGCTAGAAACTCCTCGTGGAAGATCCTGTGTTTTGATGAGGAAGACCCAGAAATCCATCAGGTCGTAGAGATTTTGGCTAAAAGTGGCTTCACGGGGTGCTTCACTGCCGTAGTGCTTCGCACTTCCCAAGAGAAGGGGTGACTCCAGCCCAAATGTTCAAATATCTCCCCCCCGCTCCTCTCCCATAATATATAACACATTAAAACCACTTTCTATTGTCCATCAGATTTTTGGAGCCTTTGTCACTCCCGTTCTGGCTTTTCTCCACCTCCAGAAGGCCTCCTATTCATCGGGCTTTACGAGGACAAAGCTCTGGCTGGGAGGCTGAATTTATCTGGGGGAGCCGAGGCTGCGAGCAAACCCAAATGTCACGCAAGGGGCTCCGGGGTGCCAGAAGAAACACCCAGCATCTGGTCCTCGCTGCTGGTCAAGAACAAATGAAAAATCACAAATAATTCACCCGATGGCTCCCACACCATCCTCTGCAGAGCTGCCCGGGGAGCGGAAAGCTCGGAGTGGAAAGCGCCTGCTTGGAATTGATTTACTGGGACGCAGCGGGGGAAAAAAAATCCCCGAATAACACCACCGATTATTCCCAGCTGCTGTTGGGGGCCTTTCGGGGCAGCTGCTGTGACGGGAAGCGGGGCTACGGGAAAAGCCACCCCACACCCTGCCCGGCCCCATCCCGGCTATGTGCAGCCGGTGGCACCGTGCGCGCCCTGCCCCGGCGCTTCCCCTTATCTCTGCGGCCCCGGCTCTCCCCTCCCCAACGGTCCGGGGAGGCTGGCTCCCTGCCCGTGGGTTTTGGGTTTTCCCTCCGTGGGTGCAGGGAGCAGCGAGGCCAAGCCCTTTCCCCTTACTCCGTGTTTTTGGGGATCCACAGCCGGGGTATCCTTGAGATGTGCCCGACCGTTCCCACCTGGGCGGGATGCGCTCTGGAGCGGGTGGGAATCGATGGGAGATTCCCAGGGGCAAAACCCGGTAAGAGTAGCCCCATCTCCTGCCCCATCCTGGGTTTTACTTCGCTCGAATTCCCCCAACCCTTTGCAAATTTTGGGATGAGTTTCCCAGGGCATTGTTCGACCCCGTGGCATTGCGAAAATCCCCAAATCGTGACCCAGCAC